GGGGTGTGGTGAGAGTCGACGCTCGACCGTGTTCAAGAGGGAACAGTTTTCTTCTTGTTGTAACATCTAAGACTAAGTTTTGTTTCATAAACAAAAGACAAAACCGGATGGCGTGGAGGCGGGGTCGTGCGCGCGCATGGGCCACATCAGGACGGCGCGGCGAGTCAGTCAGTTGTCTCTCAAGAGTCACGTCACCCGGAATCCACACTGTCACTCCAAATCCATAAATATCTCGTTTGCAGCGCATTTGCAGCGCAATTTGCTGAAACGATGGTACTTGTTCATCATTCTAGCCCTTGTTTTTTTTTGAGCTTAGCCTTCGGTGTTATGAAACAACGCAAGGCGGACATGGCATGTCGCTCTCGGGCCCACAGACATCCCGCACACTCGCCGCACACCCGCCGCCCCCGCGCGCGCCCCACCCCGGCCGGGAGAAAGGGGAGTGACAGTTTGGGACGGCGACAGCCCGAGTATGTTGAGTCCTGGCTCAACAACGCAGATAACAAGAGGGGGTGGTCCGGCTCACGCGCCTCGAGCTGACCGATGTTTTTTTTTGAGCTTAGCCTTAAACGCAGGATGGCAATGAAACTTTTTTCGTGCGCCGCGCTTTCGTGCAATGCGCCGCGCTACAATTCTCCCGCGTGGCTGCCCGTCTCCCCCATCTCGCGTTTTCATGGTCCGTATCCCCAAGGAGTCCAGAGCGGACCGCGAGATTGTCCTTGCGGCGGTGCGGCAGGATGGCAGCGCGCTCGAGTATGCAGTTGAGGAGCTCAAGGCGGACCGCGAGATCGTCCTTGCGGCGGTGCAGCAGAATGGCAGGGCGCTCGAGTATGCAGCGGAGGAGCTCAAGGCGGACCGCGAGATTGTCCTTGCGGCGGTGCAGCAGGAGGGCAGCGCGCTCGGGTTTGCAGATGAGCAGCTCCCGGGTGTGCTCCAGTATGCAGCCATGCGGCTCAAGGCGGACCGCGAGTTTGTCCTTGCGGCGGTGCAGCAGTGTGGCTGGGCGCTCGAGTATGCAGCGGAGGAGCACAAGGCGGACCGCGAGATTGTCCTCACGGCGGTGCGGCAGAATGGCTGGACGCTCGAGTATGCAGCGGAGGAGCTCAGGGCGGACCGCGAGATTGTCCTTGCGGCGGGTGCTCAAAGCGGACGGCAAGCGCTACGGTAAGCAGTACATGATTGCGCGCTCCGAAAAGGCCTACCCCGAGTACGTGCTGCGGTACACGCTTCCTTAGCTCGCCTGACGCCTCCCGCTCGCGCTCCTCGGTGCGTGTACTTTATCTTTAATAAAAGGCCCTGGCCGGCCTGGGCCCGGGGCACCTCCTCTTTGTTTTTTTGCATTTTGACATGATCCATGAAAATAAAAATTCTGAGTGGCAGCGCGAGGAGATGCTCTGGCTCTGGGCGAGCCAGCTCAGGGCTGACAACGAATCGCTCCGACGTCAGCTCAGCTTGCGTGATGCCCCATCCGCATAGGCAGCCCACAGACGCATTCACAATTACTCACCTTTTACGCGTTACTTGGTCTGGTCAAAGATATCTAGATAGAACGTCTTGTTGCGCAGGTAACAGCAGCCATGCAGGACACGGAGGCGGATGCTCTGCAGCGGATCAGAGACGATCTTCGTGTCTACGTGGAGGCCAACGTGGAGGCTGCCCTTGATGACACCGATGCCAGAGCAGGTTGTGCCAGCCTGCAGCAGCAGCAGCAGCAGCAGCAGCAGAGCACCACCTCAGGGTGCAGCGTCAGCAGGCGGTACGTCAGAGGTTTATGCTGCCACAGATGTGCGCGGCGTCTTGGGGGCAGCTCTGCAAAATTTATGCTTCGGCAGCACCATCCAGGTTAGTGTCTGTGTTGACTTTGCCTCGGCTGGCTCCATGTTGACTTTGCCACCTGACCCGCCCAGCATGCTGCGCCTAGGAGTAGCCCTAGACAGCAGTCGCATAACATCAGCAGCAACAGCAAGTGCACAAGCGTGTGCACCTGCTGCGTCGCCGCCGCGCAGCACCATACCAGGGAAGCGCACCCGCACTTCAAACAATCAGAACTGATTCAGAAATCGGAGTACCATGTGTTGTCGAGTAAAATATATGATTAATATGATGACACAACGCCGAGCACCGCGCTGCGAGCCTGTCGTGTGTGTGCGGTTGTCAGGAGCAGGAGAACCATGTGTGCCCCCCTGATCGTCCTTACAAGATCCTGCTCGTCCTCGTGCAGGACGCTGGACGGGGACCCCCCCTGTCCTCCTGCTCCTTCCATCCCCCATTTGGGTTGTCTGTTTTCTTTCTTTCTTACGATGCTCCTTTTGCTCCTTTTGGTACCTGTGTCGAACCTGTGTCGGTGAGAGAGAGTTCCTTTTTGTTGAATTCTTTCTTACGATGAGCTGTCACAGCGCCAGCGTACAGAGCACACAGCTTCAAAGCACAGCTGACAGGTGTACTCGTAGACGTAGTTTATTTTTGCTTGGGCGGCCCTCATGCCGGGGTAGGTAGGGTAGGTCTGGGCCCTCCCGTCGGGGTTTTCCCTCTCTCCACGCTGGAATTTTCACAGCAGAAAAAGAAAATTTCCGGCGAAATCACGATGTCAAACGTCCCCAAATGGGTGATCTGACTGGTGCTTGTATGTAGGGCCTGAGAGTGGCCTGCCATGTCACAGGAACGACTGTGGTTGCAGGAGAGTACCACCATCCATCACTTTAGTTGGTATAGTACCGCACCTTGACCCATCTCGTGATTTCTTTTTTTAGTTTCCCATATAAGTAGGGAAACACATTGTATTGCTAAAATTCTCTCTCTCTCTCTAAGTAGGGTAGGTAGGTAGGTCGAAGTGCACCGTGCGGGCGGGACCGGTGGCGGCGTGGACGGAGGTGCGCGACTGGCCCGAGGGCGCCGCCTCGCCCGATGCCATGTTCCAGTCGCCTGCCGAACTCGCACGCGAGCACGAGCACGACCCGCGCGTCCCCGCCGCCAAGATCATCCTGCGCGCGGCGGAGCCGTGGTCACCCGACACGCACCAGCGCGGTCATCACGACTCCCTACCACGCAAAGGTTGGAACCCGCCAGCAGAGGCTCTGCATCCGCATGCAACCCCCCGGTCGGCTACTGCCAGCTTCTCCTCACGGTCGGCTACTGCGGCAGGTGCTCGCGGTCGAATGATGTCAGCGTTCCTCCTCTCGGTAACGATGCAAGCGTCCCTGACCGCCTCCTGGCAGCCCGTGCCGGCTGACGACGCTTGGCAGAGGACCGCCCGCACCTCCTCCCCACCGAGGTCCGGGCCGACAGCGTCGGCGGATCAAGCCGGCAACGTCTGGCTCTTTGGCGGGTACGCCGAGCCGGAAGGGAAGCCACGCCACGTCGTCAACGACCTTCTGCGCTACGATGGTGGCTCCGGCTGGCAGCAGCTCCAGGAGCCCATCGACGTCACGCTGAAGGGTGGCCGTGTCCGCGACAATCGGCCGGGCCCTCGGCTGGCGACCGCCTCGTGCGTCGTCGGCGACGAGATGCTCGTCTTTGGCGGCTGGGACCCGCAGACGCCGGGTACGGGAGGCGTGATCCTGGACGACGTGTGGTCTCTCTCCCTCGCAAAGCAGACGTGGCGCCGGCTCGCGGCTCCGATGCCCGGCGGCCCCGCCTCTCGGCACGTCGTGTGCAACGTGGGCGGCACGGTCATCCTGCACACTTTCCGCTGCCTCGACTCGGTCCTAGTGTGGGATGCGGCGAGCGAGACGCTCAAGGAGCAGCCGACCAGCGGCACGCCGCCGAGCAGCCGCGGGCTGCACGTCGCCGCTGCCGCCGACGGGCACACGCTTGTCGTGTTTGGCAGCGCTCTGGCCGAGGACGCGGCTGCCGTGAAGCCTGCCCGACGCCTCGTTTCTCTTTCTTGCTGCAGGCGGGGCGGCCAAGGACGGGCAGATGGTCAACGATGCCTTCGCCCTGGACACGCGCGTCGTGGGAGCTTTGGCCGCGGTCGGCCTGTGAATCGGCGCCTCTTCACCGCTCTAGCTCTGCACAGGCGCTGCGGAGCATCGAGACCTTCCTCAAGCTGTGAACAGCGTCTCTTCACCGCTCTGGCTCTGCATAGGCGCTCGTGGGAGTGGCGTCCGCTCGCGGCAGGAGCCGGCGAGGGGGCCGTGTCTTGCGCGGAGGCGGACCAGGACCCGTCTCTCAAGCTCGTCGGAGCTGCGGCTGTAGGAGAGCGGCCCAGTCCGCGCGCCGGCGCGTGCGCTGCGCCACTGCCGTGCGGGCGCGGCATCGTGGTTTGCTGCGGCGCAGAGGCGGGCGGCGAGGGGGCTCGTGCCTGATGAAGGGTGAGCCGCTCGTCAGCCGCCACGTACGGGTGTTAGGCGGGCGGCGAGGGGCTCGTGCCGCGCGCAGACGTGTGGGCCCTAGAAGCGGCATACGTGTTCATGTATCCCAACCAGCGCTCGAGAGGACACGTACTCCGCTGTCTTCACCCGCATTCCGCGATGTACTCACTGGATTCCTCTCCGTTGTCTTCACGCGGTGCTCTGAACACGCTGCGCGATACCGTCTTCCCGCCCTGAGGTTGGCGTACCCACAACGTAGGTGTGGGCGCTAATTAATAATTAATAATTAATAGTTCATGATTAATTAACACGTAGGTGTGGGCGCTCACGCTCGACGACTCCGGCGGCGGGGAGTGGAGCTTGCTGCTCGGCGAGGATGCTCCGAACGCGCCGGGCCCGCGCAACGCCGCGACGCTGTCGCCGGTCGGCAGCGGCGGGCTGCTGCTGCACGGCGGGTGGCGGCCGTTTGTGAGCACGTACGGCGACTCGCACATCCTCAAGGTGGAGGCGTGACGGAACCAGGCGCCAGAGCGTGGTGGGAGTGCTGCTGCATACGCCGACTCGCCACGACTCGCCACTCGCGCGCCCGCGACTTTGAGGGTGGAGCAGGCGTGAGGAGGAGGCGGCGGTGGCGGCGCATCGGGCCGAAACGGGCCGCCCCGTGGGGCGTGGCCGCGGCGCACACAACGCATGTGTGCTCACGAGAGCGAGGCGCGGGGCACAGATTCACCGTCACCCGCGTCCCCGCCGCTTGCGGTCCTCCGCGTCTCGCGCGCCGAGTTTTTGTTCTTTGTGTGTTTTGTGCTCGCGCTGCTGCGTGCTGGCGGTGGGTGGCGCGAGCCCCGCCCGCCGCCGGTGCCGCTGCATCCATGGTTGAATGCTGTGCGTGTGTAGACTGCGTCGGGTACGTGTGCATACATGTTTTATGTGCCACGCGGCGCGGATATATCGGGCTCGATTGGACGGAGGAGAGGGACGCGTAGCGGGGGGGGGGGGGGGGGGAGCACAACCGGAACCGCGGGGACCGGCGGGAATGAGGGCGTTCTAACTGCCATTGGCGGTTGCACACAGGAGGTGAGGTAGGTAGGTAGGTAGGTAGGTGAAGAACTGAAAGAACAGCCAGGCTCGGACTGGACACCACAGGAGGTTAGGTGTGAGGAGCCGGGCGATAAAAGAATTCACCCTGGCATACGTGCTTGTGCTCCTCCTTCGCTGTCCCATCTCCTCATCTCTTTCCCGCACTGGGCGGGGCGGTGGGCGGGCGCGCGGTGCGGCATGGCATGCGTGAACGAAGGCGCTCTCAAAGAATTCGTCCTGCACGGCGTCTACATCTTGCTTGTCTTCCATCAGAACTCAACATATGTCGTCAATCGTGCAGCAGAATGGTCCGCACGTGGACGCGGTGTTGCGAGGCGACGAAGCGGCGGTGCGTTCGTGGCTCGAGAGAGGCGGGCGAGCAAACACCACGCGCGAGCATGGCGAAGTAATCGGCATTACCCTGCTGATGGACGCCGCCGTCGGAGGCCACGAGCGGGTGGCTACCTTGCTGCTGCAACATGGCGCTCGAGTCAACCTGCAGAGCAGCAAAGGCGTCACCGCGCTGATGACCGCCGCTGGAAACGGCCACGAGCAGGTGGTCGAGCTGCTGCTGCAGCGCGGCGCGGAGGTCAACCTGCAGAGCAACAACGGCGCCACCGCGCTGATGCTCGCCGCCCACTGCGGCCACGAGCGGGTGGTCGAGCTGCTGCTGCGGCACGGCGCTGAGGTCAAGCTGCAGGACAGCGACAGCCGCACCGCGCTGATGTACGCCGCCGGCCAAGGCCACGAGCGGGTGGTCGAGCTGCTGATACGGCACGGCGCGGAGATCCACCTGCAGGACAGCAACGGCTGCACCGCGCTGATGAGCGCCGCCCAGCAAGGCCACGAGCGGGTGGTCGAGCTGCTGCTGCAGCACGGCGCTGAGGTCAACCTGCAGAGCAGCGTCGGCTTCACCGCGCTGATGCACGCCGCTGACAACGGCCACGAGCGGGTGGTCGACTTGCTGCTGCGGCACGGCGCGGAGGTCAACCTGCAGGAGAGCGTCGGCGGCACCGCGCTGATGTATGCCGCCAACTGCGGCCACGAGCGGGTGGTCGAGCTGCTGCTGCAGCACGGCGCGGGGGTCAACTTGCAGAAAAGCGACGGCGCTACCGCGCTTATGCACGCCGCCCGCTACGGCCAGGAGCGGGTGGTCGAGCTGCTGCTGCAGCACGGCGCAGAGGTCAACTTGCAGAACAGCATCGGCAACACCGCCCTGATACTCGCCGCCGACAAACGCCACGAGCGAATGGTCGACCTGCTGCTTCAGCACGGCGCAGAGGTCAACTTGCAGAACAGCAACGGCGGCACCGCGCTGATGAACGCCGCCAACAAAGGCCACTCCGCCGTCGTGCTCCGCCTGCTTCGGGCTGGCGCAGATGCAAAGGCTCGCGCTGCAGACGGCAGGTCCGCGCTGCAGTTCGCCAAGAAGGAGGCGGCCAAGGTTCTAGCTACTGCCGGCGCCGCCAGTGCTCCTGAAACGGACCACGCCGGGTGCGTGCGCGCTCTCATAGAGCACGCAGCGGCGCTGAGGGAGGCGCAGGCGGCGGAGAAGGCGGCCGAGAAGGCGCTCGAGGCCAAGGGGCGGCGCGAGCAGCGCGAGAGGGAGGAGGCGGCGGCGGCGCGAGAGCGCGAGCAGGCGGCAAGCAGGCGGGAGGCGGAGAGAGCGACGGACGAGGCGCGCCGGGCGGCGGATGCTGCGGCGCTGGAGGAGCAGAGGCGAGCCATTGCGGCGGAGGCGGAGGCGAAGCTGGCCGCTGAGCGCGCGGCAGCAGAGGAGACGCTGCGGGCGAGGGAGGCGGAGAGGCTTGCGGCGGAGGAGGCGCAGCGAGAGGAGCAGCGGGCGGCCGCGGCGGCGCGCAAAGCCGCTCGGGCAGAGGCGGCGCGGCGCGAGAAGGAGGCTGCGGACAGGAGGGCGGAGGAGGAGAAGGCGAGGCGGCGCGCAAAGGCGGCGGAGGCAACGGCGGCCAAGAAGGAGGCCAAGGCGAAGAACAAGGAGGCGAAGAAGGCGCCGTCTGCCTGCACGCTCGAGGAGGAGCGGAGGGCGAAGGCTGCGGCAGAGCATCGCGCACAGGAGGAGAGGGCGGCGCAGCTGGCTGCTGAGCAGGAGGCGGCGAGGCGAGCGGAGCGCGAGGCGGCTGAGCTAGCGGGTGCGGCAGAGCGGGCGGCGCTGCGCGAGGATGCGGAGCTAGCAGAGGCGCTGCGCCGGTCAGAGGTGGATGCGGAGGAGGAGGCGCTGGCGCGTCGGGTGTCGCGGTGCGAGGAGGCGGTGAGCAGCGAGTCGACCGGCGGCGGCGTGGAATTGCCGCGGCGTGTCCATCGGCTGGAGGCGAGCCTCGGCACGGCGACCGAGGGCAGCCTCGAGGAGCGGGTCGGCGCCATCGAGCGCTTGATCGGGCCAGAGGCGGGAGAGGCGGCGGAGCAGCATCTGCCAGTCACCGAGCCGCTTGCTGTATCACTAGCGGACGCCGGCCTCGACACGGGGAGGCCGGCTGCCCCAGAGTCCACGATGGGGGGAGAGACGTCGTGCATCATATGCTTCGAGCGGCCGAAGTCTCACCTCGCGGTGCCGTGCAGCCACTTGTGCGTGTGCCGTCCATGCTCCGCGCTGATGCGAGAGTGTCCTTATTGCCGCGAGCCAGTGATGATGTGGCTCGCCCCGCGCCCTGTCTGATCAGGTAAGGCTAGTTCCATTTCACTCTGACACGCTAATCTTGAAAACGTCCAACGGAGCTCCGTGTTGCTCCCAGCGCCCTCCCCCGCGCTTCCTGCGGCCATGGCCGATGATACTAGTATGAGAGGTCATCTGGCTACCGCGAGCGCGACTCAACTCGCCGACGTCGTCCGATGATTGTGCCTCAAAGTCAGCCTCCGGAAGCTATCGTGGGGTCGAGCCGGCAGTAGCCGTGACATGTGGTTCCACCACCCCTCGTATGCTTTGCCTCTGACCGCCACCGTTCCCAGGCTGCCAAATGGGATGGAAAGGAAGGCTCGGCGAGCGTATAGAAGCGTGCTCGACCTCGTCGTGGCAACCTGCACGGCAGCGCTGGTAGGCGCGATGAGCGTCGTGCCACCTGACCCGAGACGGGTCGCAGGCGTCGTACCGAGCGCGTCGAGACCGTGTCCTGATGTGATCTGCACGGGTGAGTCACGTCGGCGTCAAAGGAGCGACGTGCGACCTGTCAGAGCTTGATCTCCGATCTCAGCGGCGTCGAGTCATCTCCGGCGCGCGACAAAGGTACATCCACAGGACGCGCAGAGGCAGCTGCGACCCCGGCGAGTGTACTGATAGGTCGCTCGTTGCTCCTTT